ACTGTGTTGCATATGGATGTAACCAAAAGAGTGATGATGGGGAAAAGAATTCTTTTTTTTTTTGAAAGACCCTGTTTACTAGGAAAAAAAGTGAATTCAAGCTGTGAGATAAAATAGGATGAGGGATGGGAAACTTGTATCATTATTGCCAGATTATAGTCAATTTGGCCCAAGACGATTGGGCCAATCTAGAAAGACAATTCGTCTCAACAATAGTTTGAACAATTTCGTTTTCTTAAGACAAAAAGTAGATACTATGCAAGATACATTTTAGGGAGAGGTTTTAGGAACAAAATACTAAATTTAAACGAAACTGCTATTCTTTCAAAGAAAATAATCATACTTTGCAACTTAATCGACATTCTCAATTTAAGTCTTCTAGTCAAATTATCAATATTCATTAATTAAACAATGAATCTTAACAGATGATATTCTACAGAATATGTATACATTTTTTAAGGGTAGTGTACATGAGATATTAAAACATATATTTAATTCTAGGTTTCACATTGTAACACTGTTGCATATAATACACGAGAGAGAGAGAGAGAGAGAGAGAGAGAGAGAGAGAGAGAGAGAGAGAGAGAGAGACGTTGAGCATGTTGTCATTGTTGCTTCAGTATGAAGCTCTTATCAGTTAATTTTATTGTTTGCTTTTATTTTTCAAATTGTCTTAGTGTGTGCGCGCATAAATTAAAAGCTTGTCAATTACAAGTCAATATCATCAATCATATTTGCTCCATTATTCCATACAAATAAGGAATTATTTTTGTGTTGAATTTGTGACCTACCCACCCCACCACCCGCAAGGTAAAAAAAAATCATACACTTATTTGGGAATAAAATGAAAGAAACTAACCTTGCATTGTTATCATCTATTCCTTCTTTTTTCATCATACAAAATTTAGTAAAGAATAAATATACCCACGAACTCCGTGTATGTAGAGGGTGACCGGTTTACGTATACGTCCTTACTGTAGTGTGTATCGCTTATGTCAAATAACAAATTCACAAACTTGACGAACATATCACTCGATTTCTTGAAGGCACCTGCCATTCACGCATGATGTTACAAGGTGCAAACTGACCAAGATTGTATTGTATCCAGGTTAACTATTCGACGGTATGTCGCAAATAAAAATTATTTTAAAATACACCCACTGTGAGTGCAAATGATAATCTTTTCGCTAGCATGGGTTACAAATGTGTTACTAAAACACGTTATTGTTGTTTTCAATATTTTCCGTCGATCGTAAATTATGATCACATCTGGGAAACATATAGAAAGCCGGGTGATGGATAAACACAACTTGGAGCGAGCAATAAACTCTTTCCTTAAACTTTCCGACAGGATATCAATACAAAGGTTATTTTGCTACAAAGCAAACAACTTCGAAAACTGACTTTGGTATCATATAAGTGTGCTGAATTTTCTTATGAAGTCGGCCGACATAAAGAAGTCAAGTTTGGTTTCTTTGGATTCTTTTAAGTGTGCCGATTTTTTTATGAAGTTGGCAGACATAGAAAAGCCAACGGGAATTTTCCAAAAAAAAATTAAACAATTGAACATTTTTGAAAGTGACACAATCTGGCTGAACAGTAAATTAGATTTCAGTAGTTTCATCTAAATTTTTCCTATTCATTTTTATAATGTTTTATTTTTCGACAAGCAGAAGCATGTATTTCGTTTTGTGGGGCTAAATGAACGTCATTTCCGGCTGGCATCCTCTATAGGTGGGAAATAGTAGCTAAGGTTTAGTAACTGCGTTATATACGCCTTTTTCTAGTAACTAAATTATTATTCTTTCTTTACACTTGATATTTTTTTGTTCTTTTTGTGCGAGCATAACCACTTTTATTCATGTAATGCAAATCTGATGTAAACAAAACTGTGTGGCCGGTGACCTTTAGGATGTTAAGTCTAAGAACGTTTAGTTATTTGTTTATTTTAGATTGATTTGGAGTTTTAATTTGGGGGTTTCAACTAATTCAAGTATTTTGCCTCAGGACATAACATGAGAGACAATCCAGGATTATCTGGAAATGGAAACCAAATATGCCAACTTATGAATCCAGCACTACTATATTACCGTGTCTCTCAAGCTCCAGCCATAATAGGTCGGGATCTGCGCTGTGTTGAATCATACCGATTCGAATGGTCCTATGCATGCATAAATCATACATCATACGAAATACAACAGCAGTAAGTTAGGTTCATGTATCAAGGATATGTATCAGAGGAATTTACTATGAATTTTTTATGTTAATATAGATTATAATATAACGTGCAAGTTATTTTTATCGTTTTATCTTCTCAGAGTGACGTGATCGATATTGAGCATCGTGGTGTAATACATAACGTTCGTCAACATCATATATACATATCTTTACAGCATCACGTCATTTTAATGCATCTCATCGACAGCTAGTTAATATTTCATTTATTGCACGGGTGGAATAATGTCTAGATTTTGTGAACTTTGGCTAGCAAAAACTGAACATTATTTACTTTCATAAATTTAATCTTTTAATAGAAATAATTTAGAAAGAAGACATATCATTGAGACTTATATGCAGCACCTTATATTTGTTGTTCGTAAAACGTTGTTTCAAACGCTAATTGAATTAATAATGCGCGGTTCTATAACCAGCAACGTTTACATGATTTGTTTTAACAATTCACGATTAAATGATCAACTTTCCCTAAACATGAAAAGAATATATGGCAATATTATTCTATCCAGGATCTCAAATGGAAATACTGAAGTTGGATGACTTTCTGTCAATTGGGATGCTGATTAATGTGTGCATTATTCAGGGAACAGGTAAGTTTGTTTACTGTTCTCTGTCCATTTACCAATAACCTTAATTTTATTTGTATTAGTGCCCAAATCTCAGAGTATACATAGGCCGAACCTACGTAAGTCTTTAGTTCGTTAGTTCCAGATCAGAGAGTGTCTGTCTATATTTTATAGGTGAGAATTTTCTGCTCAATTACTTACCTTTAAAGGTTAATGATTTCTGTAGTAGCTTGTAGTTGCAATATTCTTGTAAGTTCTCTTTTTATTTTACTATTATAATGTATTGGATTATTTTATTGTTTTTATGATTTGATGTTCATTGTGTTTGCATGAATTTACTACCAACTTTATGCTAAAATTTAGTTGCGAATAAAATATTCTTTAGATAATAAAGTATAATGTTCAGTGATCTTTTCCAGGTCGGTATTCTAAATTAAATGACAAAAAGCAAACATTTCTTTCAATCGCAAGTATTGAAGTTTATGCTCTTTGAATTCAAGCAATATCTAATCACTTGTATTGTATGCAAGCATATCAAGTGGTAGATCGTAGGAAAATTATTATTCAATATGTATTGTAATATGCATTGTATGTATCTTATAAGTTGTATTTCGAGAATGTAGTTTTATATATCAATAAATTTCGTCAGTCCCAGATCAAAGAGTGTCTGTCTATATTTTACAGAGTTCATCAGTTCCAGATCAGAGAGATAGTCTGTTTATATTTTACAGCAATTTCCGCTATCTCTGGTAGACAGAACTTCCCCAAAAGATGCAGCATTCCGCGTGACACCTTATTCTTAAGAAGACGAGCTCTCTTCTCTCTCTTCCTCTCTGACCAAGAGCCCAGGCATCTCCTAAGCAGCGAGAATTTCCATCTCATAGCAAAAAAGAAAGAGAAGAAGGTTATGACATAAAACAACAATTACAAGACGAACTTACCTTTCCTCTCATAACAACAAAACAAATCGTCATAAAATGCAAAACCTCATACATAACATAATACATAACATTCGTCAACATCATATATACATATCTTTACAGCATCATGTCATTTTAATGCATCTCATAGACAGCTAGTTTAATATTTCATTTATGACATGGATTGAATAATGTCCAGATTTTGTGAACTTTGGTTAGCAAAAACCTAACGTTATTTAGTTTTAAAAGATTTAATCTTTTAATAGAAATAATTTAGAAAGAAGACATATCATTGAGACTTATATGCGGCACCTTATATTTGTTGTTCGTAAAACGTTGTTTCAAACACTAATTGAATTAATAATGCGCAGTTCTGTAACAAGCAACGTTTACATGATTTGTTTTAACAATTCACGATTTAATGATCAACTGTCCCTAAATATAAAAAGAATACGTGACAATATTTGTCTATCCAGGATGACAAATGGAAATACTGAAGTTGGATGTCTTTCTGTCAATTGGGATGCTGGTTAATGTGTACATTATTCAGGGAACAGGCAAGTTTGTTTACTATCCTCTGTCCATTTACCAATAACCTTAATTTTATTTGTAACGAGCCGCTGTATGATATATTGTCCATATTTTGACAGACTTAACCTTGGGAAATCGATTCGAACAATGGCCACCGAAATGTTGATAGTCATAGTGAATTAAAAGAAAAACAAGAAAAGATCTAGAAGGCCAGGCAGAACTATTCACATGATTGCAACCAATGAGAAAGGTAATTCTATCGAAGAATTTCTCGGGCGTATTTAGACCAATTATAATCACATAAAATGAAATGTTAACATGTGGTCATATCGAAAGCAAAGCTATTAAACTGCACACAATATTCGAAGTGTACTAAGTGTGAAAATGTGATATATCATATTAAGTACGTCAAACCTTCACAGTGGCATTTCATCAATAGCGCGTGCGTGTGATATTGTGTGATTTAGATTTTTAACGTAGCTTTAAAAAATTTACAGGCATATCGCTACGGTGTCTGCATTGTGACAGTTTGTAATGATGGCTAGCACTGGAGCAATATGCCACAGGAGCGGTCAATAGCGACTGCCATATTAGGATATAAAATTTAGTTATGTTATGACATTGCAGCGTTGTGTTATTTGAATTACATGTTGTAGTATGATATAACTTAATCCAGTCATATATCAACATAAAGTCGACCATATTACGTGTCGTAGTGTGACTCATCACTGAGATGCAGCATTTGTCTAGACCAACGGCCGGGGTTTGAACCCGCGATAACCTGCATCCGAGTTCGATCCCGCGTCCTCCTGCATCCCAGGCGGACGCTCTAACCACTAAGCCACCGTAGCGGCCAATAGTGCATGCCAACGCTAGGCTATAAAATTTAGTTGCGTTATAGCATTACAGCGTTGCACCATTTTAAATTACATGTTGTAGTATGATATAACTCTTACCAGTCAGATAGCAACATAAAGTCGACCATATTGCGTGTCGTAGTGTGATTTATCACTGAGCCGCATCATTTTGCTAGGCCAACAGTAACTAAAAAATGTTTGCATTTATGTGAAAAAGCAATTGTATACTTATCCATTTGAAACAAACTTTATGAAAGTGTTGAATAAGTAAATTTTTCATTAGCTGTAAGCAGCTTATTTCAAGAGATGCTTATCAACTTTTTGATTAACATTCTCGCCTAATTGTTCAATTCTACATACCGGTATATGATAGCATAATTGATTTTACGACATCCAAACCTAGCAATCCTGACGAAACAACATATTTACATCAAATTTACGGCACTTTTGTATCAAAATTAAATGAATAGTATTAGAATTGTAGAGTGATGTCATTTCTGAGATATTTGTATAATTGATTCATATTGTTGGTAATATTGTCGGTAATATTTTCGGTAATATTGGCAGTATGAACTCAGACATCTTGGCAAATATTCGAAAGAGATTTTAGTTAAATGACAGCTAACTGTTACTGCCACATATATGCACACATTACTATGCACCTTCCTTGGCACTCTGACAAACTAATTATCTCCAAAATATTTCAGTGAAATTTAAGTACCCGTCTAATATTTTTTATAATGAGTAGAACACATTCTGAATTCAATTAAGCAATCTACTTGATTTAATTTAAGAGTATTCCATTAGATAGTTGTACTGATTTATGGCGTGGCAATACAATAATTTTAGGATATTATCACACGTCCACCCCAATATGTTTTCGTGTGACAAATTTAATACAAGTATTAGGAAAGTAAGGTGTTCATACATATGATATTTAAGAAAGATTAATCGCAGCTCCATTCTTACTGAAACTATATATCAACTTAAATAAAAGAAAAGTATATGTATGATTCATTTTATTAAAGGAGTACTTCATTAAAAATATCTAAGAATTTGCGCAATTTTTTTAATTTATTTGAACAAAATTAAATAGATAAACCAAAATCTGCCGAAAATCGAAACACAGTTACATATTTTTTCAGAAGCCATTTCTACATTACATGCCATCAGTTAATAAGTAAACAACTAAACTCCAGTATATGGTATTTACCATGATATGCAATATAGACGAAATTTACTTTCCATTTATTTTGCATGTTGAAACATATATAGTAATAGGTTACACAACTAATAAGATCGCGTCGAAGATATATTATTGTGATCTCCCAGTAAAACCAACTAGTCAAAAATCTTTGACAGGCATATGAATGTAACATTCATGGACTTGTGCTAATACTGCATTTATTATTATCTAGTTTTTTTAAATTAATGTGTTCATTCTCAGACCATGTGTTTGCACTAATTATCATCTATACATGACAGGAAAATTATTCATACAGAGCATCAAACTAAAAATATATTGATGTTTAATGTTGACTGATGAAAGATTTTTAAGAATAAATTTGCATCAATGAAAGATCGATAGGTAGATGATAGATAAAAGTTTTAATGCGTACTTACGAATATGGCAAATTTTGACTTTTTAAATGGCAATATCATACATGAAGAACAATATAAAGATCAGATAAACTAATGTTAACCATTGTCTCTTGAAGTCAGAAGGCTGAAAAACGTTATCCAGCAATTGACGCAAAAATTGTAATACAATGGAGAAATTCTCAGTAATCACGGAAAAGCAGAATTTAATCCGAATATTTAAAACTCTATTAAAGTAAAGACCTAGCTACACCTTTAACAAGAACCATCATTTGAAGTGTTCGAAAATGGAGAAGAAAAGAGACTCTGCTAGTCGGTATTTTCACTAATTTAATCTGCCAGTCAGTGTTTTCACAAATTTAATATGCTAGGCGGTATTTTAAGAATTTTGGTGTTGTAAATTTTGATATTTTAGCGTTGTGGATGTTCTATAAATTATATTTTAATGTGAATGTTTTGTAAATTATAATAATTAACCGTTATGGATCTTTTGCGAATTATGATATATACTAATCTGATAAAACATCTTTATCACCATTAGCAAAATGCAAAATGATTTTCCAAATTCTATGTCAAAAAAGTCAAAAAATATACTCTAAAAATTGTCATGAAAAATATGCTCGCAAAAAGTGTTATACGGTGGATGGTTTGCAATAAGATATTTAAAACACATTTTATTTATTTAGTTAAGATTACTATTCTTTCTACTGGGTGCTTCTGATTTGTAATAACAATTATCTAAATGTCTTATCTGCTGATGTAAATTACAATCCCAAAATTATATACAGTTTTCCAGTTTAACAATTTTAATTCCAAAACAAACAGAACATCATGGGCATTCATTTGGCAATGAAAGACCACTTAACTAAATTGGCATTCGGGATAAGGAGATCATAAATAAAACGTCAGCGACTGAGCAAATTTGCCGTTGGAAAATAATTATATTAAAACATTGTTTTCAAAGCAGTACAATAATATAATATATTCTACAAAGGAATATTATTCGTCATGGATCATGTGGTTGCTACAAATGTTCTGATATGCAATGATATAAACATAGACGAAGAACTCTTAAACCTCTTGAGACCAAGATTATGAGACAAAATTAGCAAATATTGTCGCACACCTTACAATTAATTTCACATCTCTTTGATACATTTATTTGGCCGAATAGACTTGATCATCAGAGACAACGAATATTATTACAAAACACCATACTTTATCGGATGTACAAGGGTTTCGTCTGAACAATTCATTGCACATGGTGAAATATTATGTAGTCTGCTTTACTGTATTATTAGGCTCGCAAGAATGGGCCTGTCCTTGAAGATAAATTAAATGCTATGTTTCGTGTAGAAACTGTTTTTTGATGAACAGACGATGTATATTTTGATATAATCTCTTTCAACAGATTCAGACGATAACAGTGTTAAAGCGAATTATATTATTAATACATGTCTTGATAAATCTATTTATTTTGCAAAATCCTTCTCTGCAATTCTCTTTAGTTCGTACTTTATCGTTCCTCCTTAACAGATAAGAGCTTTTCTTGAGAAAATGATCTCGAAGAAGGCGAGAGAGCTTGTGGCTCCTGACTATTTTCCGAATCACTTCCGTTTCCGGTTTTCTTTCCATCTGGAGATGTGTGTGTTTTCAAGTGTTTGCTGAGATGGTCACTGCGCATAAATCTTTTATTACAAGTTGGACACCCGAATCTTTTCTCACCAGTATGTGTCCTTAAATGACGCTGTAGTTCGTCCGACCGTGTGAATCGCTTGCCACAGAATAGCCAGTTACAGACAAATGGACGTTCACCCGTATGCCATCTAAGGTGTGCCTTTAAATGGGAGGTTTTGCCGTATACTTTACCACATCCTGGTACATGGCAGCTGTGAATATTTTTTCTCCTAAGATGAGAGCCTGCTGGACCTAATCGTTCGGCCTCCTGGCAGTTTGGACAATCACATGTCGCTCTACCCGTGTAGCGTCTCTGCGATCGTGAACCTGTTAATGGCGACATTGCAGATCTGGGCAGAAATGGACCGACAGCAGACACATTTAGATCAGTTTGAGTAGGAAGCATGGATTTGTATGAATCCTGTATGAAATGTTGATTGGCAGGTAAAAATGCAGATGGATTTGAACTAAGGGCATGGCTAAGTGAATAATCCGAACTAGGGTAACTGGTGGTGATTTGGGAATGAAAACTACTTGGAGCATTAGAAACGTCTGATAACCAGTTTGAGGGATTTGAATGCATATCCCACCATGATGATGCTGAGCTGACTGATCCAGGTACTTCAGGTTTTAGCCCATGAGTACTGGGCATGTTTAATGACCAAGAGTCGTATAGATGTCCTGTTACACTGGCTACTCTTGAATACATATTTCCAAAATTAGAACTTCCCAATCCAGTGTCTTCATGCATTTTCTGATTTATAGCTGATTGACAACTATTTGATTGAGCGTAAGAGCTTCCACCACCTTGTGGATAAAAGAGGTCACTTCCATAAGCACCTGCACAACTGGACAATGCATTATTACGCGAGTAGTTAAGACTAGAAGTCGTCATAGAAATCTGTGGGTTCATGTGTGGCATGCGCTGTGAGGATAAGGAAATAGGATTTGGTGCGCTTACACCTGGCATAGGCTTTTTCCATGGATAAAACCCCTTGACGACTGCTGCATCTGCCAACTGAGGGCTCGATTTGTTCGTAATCTTGCTACACTGGGCTGCTAACATTGCTAGAGGAGTACCGCAGAATGGATGATGGTCCTGAAAATAAAAAATTAAATAAATCAATGTTTTAGTTGATTAATGGTACTCTCGAGTAGGTTATTTATTGTACGGAAAAAATGGAGCTGCATGTGGAAACATCTTGATAGTTAACCATGACTGATCCGGTAGTTAGTACAGCGTACTAACCTCCTATCCAGAGCAGACATGTAAAAAGTATAGTATACCTACCTACCTAAGTACCTACCTACCTACCTGCCTGCCTGCCTGCCTACCTACCTACCTACAGACAGACAGACATTGGCTAATAATCTTATACGGCGAACACAATTTATTATTCCCTGCTAAATAAAGTAACATTTGTACATCACACAAAATATATTTTCATTTAGAAATGCAAAATGTACAATGCTGATGTACAATGCTGATCTTAAAATCTGCATCGTTTTTAGTATGAAATATATTTTTATCATAACGCATTTTATTAAATTTAAAATGTTGCTATTTTACTCAACATGAAGATGGCACGGTGATTGTGTGTGTATATATATATATATATATATATATATATATATATATATATATATATATATATATATATATATATATATATATATATATATATATGTGTGTGTGTGTGTGTGTGTGTGTGTGTGTG